AAGACCAGCATCTTTATCATGGATGAAGCAACTGCCTCCATCGATATGGCTACGGTTGGTCCTGGGATGGCATGTTACGGAGAAGTTGGCATAGAGTGGTCCCTAGCCTCAAGTTGACATCTAATTCATATCAGGGGGTCTGTGGCAAAAGCAAGTCCAGCCCTTGAGTGTTGAGTACCTGGTCAGTCCTCTGGGACTAGAGCCAGAAAGAAGATGGGCATAGAACTAGGAGCTGAGGTGAATGGGAGCAGGGCCCCATGTTCCCAGAACCACCCCAGATCCCATCCACAGAACAGATGAGTCACTAGCTACTGCCTCCACCTGACAGGAGAACATCCTCCAGAAAGTGGTGATGACAGCCTTCGCAGATCGCACCGTGGTCACCATTGCGGTAAGGGGGCATTGTGTGTGGTGGAAAGCTCACCTTTGGGACGGTCACCAGTGGACTATTCCTGCAGGCAGGAAAAGACCCTAGAGTCCTCAGGACAGGGAGTTCAGAGAGCTGGCAGAAGAGCACAGCAGAATTTTGGGGTGTCTAGAGATTTACACTTTTATTTGCTTCAGGCCTTGCCCCTATTTCTCTGGATTCCAAGTTAGACTGACTTCCCAAAAGTCCTGTGAGCTAGGCTGGGGGCTGCTTCTCATTGAAAGTGGGAGCCTGGAGCAGGAGTCTGTAAGTATTGAAGACGGGAGGTGGAGGCCGAGCTAAGGTTTTATGGAGGAGAGAAGGGTCGAGGGTTTGGAACACAGCCACCCCAGGTTGGAAGCACCACCACAGACAGGGCTGTGTAGAGTGCTTTCCGGGCAGGTGTGAAGCCTTGAGTTCAGTCCCCAGCACTGCAGAAATGGGGCGTGGTGCTAACACTGTGATCCTAGCACTCAGGAAAAGAGAACAACAGTTCAAGCTTATCCTTGGCTACATAGTTAGCCTCAGGTCTGTCAGAGCTACCTGGAAAAAGAAGTGGGGGCAGGGCAGAGGCATAGTGGCCTCCTCCGGGCTGGGGGAGGACAGGGTTCCTCGGCTGTCCTGCCCACCACACACAGCAGCTCCTCCTGTCCACCCAGCATCGTGTGCACACCATCCTAAGTGCAGACCTGGTGATGGTTCTGAAGAGGGGTGCTGTCCTGGAGTTTGACAAGCCGGAGACGCTTCTCAACCAAAAGGACAGCATATTTGCCTCCTTTGTCCGTGCGGACAAGTGACTTGCTTGCACCGAAGTGCCACCCCACGCCCCACTTGCTTGCCTAGGATTTCTAACTGTAAATCATTTGTAAATAAATTAATTATTTGCTACTGGAGGCCTTGGCTCTGTGGAAGGGGCAACGATACCCTGTGGGTGCAAGAAATCAGCCTGCCTTTGGAACCGAGCAGACTTGAAGACGCCACGTGAACAGAGGAAAACCATGTTTCTGATCTGTATCAGGCAGTTCCAGGTGCCATAACAAAATGCCCCAGTCTGGGTGGCTTTTCACAGAAAAATGTATCTCTTCCTATCCTGGAGGCTGAGAGTCAAGACCAAGGTGCTTTGGTTTCTCCTTGTTGTTCCTCGAAGTCACTAGTCATACTTTATTAGCTCCTACCCACAACCTCACTGAACCTTAATTATCTCCTCATGGCCCCAAATAAATGTAACTGGAAACGGTATCCTAATTTAGGGATGGAATTCAGTCAACAGCAAGGGGGTAATGACTCAGTGGCAGCCCCATCAGATAAAGGAGCAGGTCTCTATCCAGCTGGGACTCTTTGCTGCTCACCTGAGTTATAATGGTGGGGTCTGGCGCCCAGCATCTCTTACAGGAACTCAACATGACTTAAACAAGAACTTGAATTCACTGTGATTACGTGGCTAGAGGAATGCTTCTCCAGGTGTGTGACATCAAGATGGTGGCTCCATTTCTGAATCCTATTTCCCTTGTGTCTGGTGACAGATGGTCAGTAGTAGCTTGAGCTTACCCCCTGTCCTGGAGCCACCAGGAGGAAAATGAGGGGTTCTTTCCCGATACTCCAGTGAAGCCCTAGACCCAAATCTCAGGGCCTCACCTGGTCACACCCTCACCCCCACCCAGTCATTTGGTAGAGTTCCGGAATACTCTGCATGCTAGGCCAAGATCTCAAACCACTATCTCTGCCTCCCTTCTCCCCCCACAAGCATTCAGAAGTGGGAGAAGGGTGGTCCCTGAGCCATCCCTGTACAAGTCAGCCAGGTGGTGGCTCAAAGATGCCGGAGACTAGACACCAGGAGACCAAAACAACAGCTTGTCCCAACCCTGTTGGCACCAAGAAATGGCAGGTGCTCATTTACATACATTTGGTTATAATTTGCACCCTGCCTGCACATTGCCTCATTGACTTATGAGACCCTGGGGTTGCAGAGCTAGGCCTTCATCTCTCAGGACTGCAGGAGGGCCAGAGCTCTACAACATAAGGAAAGTTCATCAGTCACCAGAGGGAGCCCGGCGAGGCTGAAGTGCCCGGAGCCAGAGGAACTCATGGGAGAGCTCAGCCTGGCAGGCTGCCTGGGAAAGGCAGGATTCGTGTTGGGTGTAAGAGGGAAGAAATTAGATAATCAGAAAGACTGGGGTGGAGAGAGAGGCGGAGATCACGCAGCAGGAGTGACAGTGGAAGGGGGCGTGCCAAGGCCAAGTGGTTCATGTGGGGTGTGGCAGGATAAGGCAGTTGGGAGGCATCAAAGACCCTTAATCCTAGGGCAATGTGTGTGGGATAGGCTTCTGGGGGAAAGAACTGAACAAGTACAGTGTTTGGGGAGATGGCTGTGAGCAACAGGGAATCAGGAGGCTGAGCCCTTTGGGCAGCCTCCTATCTCCTGGGGTAGGGATTAGCTAAGGGCATACAGAAGGGCAGGGCCTGCCTTGCCAGCCCTAAGATGCCTCAGTGGGACCAGCAGTTCCTTCCACTCGGGACTTCCAGGAGCAGACACAGGGATGGTTAAGGGACGCTGCTCTGCCAGGGAAGGACTCACACCCCAAGGAAGCAGCAGAGCAAGAGCAGGCCCAAGGCCATCCTGGTTCAAATCCCTCCGTGAGGATCTAATTAATAGCCCACCAGCTCAGACTTTTATCTTTCCACCATGTAGGCCATATCCGGTCACTATGATCAGAACAGACTCTTGCATATGCCCATCAAAGCCTGCTCCTGTTCCACCCTATCCTGGTACCAAGCAAACCTACCTGTGATTCCTCCTTTCCCCCAGGGACTTCGGAAAGATGGCCAAAGTTGCCGGAGTCCTCCAAGGGTCCTTTTTTGATGGCTAAATGTTGAAGTGGCCTCAGATTTCCCGTATAACTGTGTCCTTGGACTTCCAGTCTCTAATCCACTTGTTTGATGCTCCCTGCCTTGGGTATGATGCCCAATTAGTATAGTATTGATCTCACTCTTTGTAACAGGGGCCACTCAACCTATAGGTGGATTTGGAGAGATAGAAGACAACTCTCTCTCTCTGAACGACCCCTACTCAATATGAAAATGTTCCGTGGTGTCCCGAATTCCCAGTACCACTGTTACTCTAGCCCCTGCCTCAAGCCCTCACTCCAGCCACAAAGGGGGCTGCGTTTGTCTTAAAGGATCTGAACCCCAGAACAGGCCATTACATTACAGGTGACCCAACAACCTTCAGGGACCGCTCTATAGTGACATCTGCAAGGGAAACTCAACCACTTTTCTTGACAATAACCTCAGTCACCCCCTCTGTGTTCAAGCTCCTTAGGCCCAGATTTCCCCACCAGCCATGGTTAAAGGGAAGAAATCAGGGTGAAGCTGTACAGAGTTCAAAGCAAATGCAGCAGAACCAGTCCTCTTAAAATTCAGGAGTGGTAGCCACCACCCCTACAATCCTAGCACTCTGGCAGTGGAGGCAGGAGGATCAGAAGTTCAAGGTTATCCTCTGCTAGATAGCAAGTGTGAAGTCACCCTTGGCTACTAGAAATCCTGTCTCAAATAGGTGAACAGACAAACCAACTAACTAACAAACAAATGTAGGATCAGGAATACCTCCCAAATGGGAGAACAGTTAGTTGAGGAGTTCTGAGGCTGTTGTTTTATCTCATCCCAGCCTCAGGATTGAATCAATCTCTCACTGCCTCTTTCCCCGGGAATCAAGTGCTGCGTGAGAGACAGGTAAGAGCCAACTGCGGACTTGGGAAAACAGAAGTCAGGGCTCCAGGAACTACTTAGCCAGACTAAGAGAATTTCACAAAAGGAACGTCTAAAGAAGGCTTTTCCACTTGAAGAAAGCGCTATAGACTGGCTGAGGATGGCAGCAGGCGAGGGTGGGACGAGAATCCTCTGTGGGCGGGGCTTATGCCCAGGCCCGCCCCAGTCCTCCGCTCGGGAGCCGATCTGGCACCCCCTGGCGGCGGAGTCTGCACTTGCTCTCTGGAGCCCCCCGCCCGCAGCCTCCCACCCCCACCTCGCATGGGTCGGCGCCCGAAGACCGGCTCGCAGACAGACACAAGCCCGGGAAGCCGGCCGGGAGTGAGCACCGGAGTGGGAGGGGGCAGGGAGGTGGCCGCGGCTTGAGCAGCAGGAGCAGGTGCGGCGGCGACAGGCGGGGCGGGGACGGAGCGGCGGG